TCTGGTTTAACAGACAAGTGCCTTGAAGCAAGATCTGTAAAGTTCTGCTATTTGTTCAAAAGGTGGGGGATGTTTTTCTTTGAAATTCTGAAACTCCACAAAATTGTTTATATTTACTTGAGCTTAATTAGCAAGCACTAAAACAAAACTGTTGCAGTTTTAATTTGGAAGGACTTCTTTTTACTGTTTCTTGTGTGTATGGTGTATATCCCCGTACCCGGTGAAGCGTGGCTGCAGTGTACGTGTAGGTGCCGTGTGCTCGAACGTGGTTCTGCAGCTGCAGCTTGGGCTTAGAGAGTAGCGTGCAGCTAGCTTTGGAAGGACTGAGAGCCCCTGGAAAATGCAACGTTTCACATGGGAACAGGGATATGGGAACACTGTCTTGTGGGGATTTTTAAATGCAACATTGCATCAGTTTTCTGTATCTTAGTGGCCTGTGGTTCCCTGGGGTAAAACATGCTGCTGCTTTTGTACTTGGTCCCTTTCACTCAGTAACATCATTGTCCGCTATTGGTGTTTACCCGCCTTTTTGTATATGAGGGCTGATCTTAAGCGAATGTGTGTGCGTGTTGCTCTGTGTGTTTGGGAATGTAGTCACTTAATTTTTACATAATCCTGTTTTAATTTTCTGCAAACTTTGCAATTGAATTATCAGTAGTAAAATATTGAAAGAGCTGTACCGTAGGACACCATACGAAGTTAAAATTTGCCTACATTGCCTTGTGATGAATTTTCCACTTATGATCAACAAAAATGCTACTAAAATAGCACTGTTCGTTATTGCTGTCTTATGTTGTGACTACATCAATACAAGTAGGAAAGAGTTTAGTAATCAAAAATGACAGATAAGTGCTAAGTTTTGATAATTTATTGGTTGTCTAGGTAACTGGTAGGTTGTTAATAAAGATTACAACAATACTGGGGTTAGAACCATTTTACCTATATAGAAATACATAGATATCTTTTACAGTAAATATTCATGTTCTTTAAATAACCTTTAAAAAACCAGATACTTAAGTATAGCAAGTGTACAAAACTGCAACAGAGTAGTAGCATAACTTCTACAGTTTACAAATATCTAGAGTAATATTTTGATGTGTTTAAAAAAAATAAATCAGCTGACCTACTGAACTCTCAATATTTATAAATATTGAATGGGTGAAGAAAAAACTAGCATTGCAAACAATGTTGTTGTTTTCATGATATGTTTGTGGGGGATTTCTTAATGTGTCCTGAAGTTCTTTTCCATCAGAAGAGATTTGCAGTCTGTTCCAATTAAAGAATTTTCCATACTGGAAAAGAGAAGTAAATTGCTACAATTATTTTATGAATAGTTAATTTACATAACCTTAATTGTATTCATTCCCTTTGAAAGGCTGAAGCTGATATTTATAATGCATTGATTGATTAGCAGTGTATTTATAATGTTAAAATTGCTACTGATAAGGTGCTCCTGCAACTGCAGTCCCGAGGAGTTCTCTCCCGAATAAACATTTTAGAAGACAAATGGCTGTATTTAATTGGTGAGGAAAGGCATTGCATCTTTGCCACCTCCACATGCATTACTGGAAGTATCTCCTTTCCACACTCTCTAAAAAATGGGAGTTTAATACTAGATCGTGTTACTTAATTAATGGTGTGTTCCATACTGTAAAGAAATACATTTTTGCTGTTTTTTTAATCTGTCAAAATAGTGCCTAGGTGTAGACTAGGGAACTGCAGGCTTTTCACTGAAGTCACTCGAGGAATGACAGCCGTAAGAACCTTCCCTGCTTTCAGATGCGTGTGAGGCCTATGTGGTTTAGCTCTGAGAAGTCTTCTTGTGGCCATTTGCCAGGCTGTATCGCAGGTGTTTGCCTGCTGTTGGCTTGTACCTGTGCCCTGCCTGCTCCAGCTCAGAGTATGGAAATGGAGTGCTGGTGCAGATAAGGTGGGGACTGGGAATAGGGGTGGTGGTGGAGGTGTCTTTTTCTCCCGAGTCTGCTGTGGGAATTGGGAGGAGAGGATGTGAGTGTCCCCATCCGCTGATCCTTCTCGATAGGTGAATGAAAGTGGAATTGATACAATCTTCAAACCATTTGCAACCCTTCCAGGTTAATTACCTGGAAGGGTAATTAAGCAGGTGAAGTCCTGGGGGTTTTATCCACTTTCAGACACTGTGATTTCTGTATGTCATTTTGCCTGAACCAAACTCATTTCTGACCAGCTATCAAGGCAGTTGTTTGACTTGTAACTTCTTAGTTCTTGGGAAGTGTCACCCAACACTATGGCAGGTGCTTTAGGGATGCTCGGTGGAGCAATGACACAACAAAGTTTTTGTTACAATCAAAACTTCATTTTAACCTGGACCCTTGAAGAAAGCATATAGAATAGGGTAATTATAACATCAGTGTTCTCCTGGTTTACCTTTCTGGTTTTTACTACTACTACTACTACTACTACATGTTTTGGGGGCTTTTGAGTCTGAGGTAGTGCGTGCGTGTTTCCATTTGACAGTTCTTGCTGGTCTTTTCCATCAGTTTGTCTAGTTTTTTTGAGCCAATCCCTGCTTTTGGTCTCTGCAACATCCTGGGGCAGTAAGCGTAGAGTGTTACAATGTAATACAGCATTTGATATGCTAGGGTGTGAAACCACAGGGAAACTCAGCTTGGTCCAGCTGAGTTCACTTGCTTGTTCCCATCAAATCACAGCTGAGCTCCATTTACTCTATTCTACATTGCAAATGCTCAAGTGAACTTTGTATCCTACTATTATCTAAAGTGCTTTCAGTGCCACGGTCCTACACAATCTCGAATTTTCTCTTCATTAGTAACAGCCTCTTTCTTGAAAATTAAGTTTCCACAGCAGAAGTGAGACTGAGAAAGCAAACCTTTTGGTGGGCAACAGTTGTGTAACTTCTTGAATCGTGATGGGCTTCCATAATAACATGAATGTGAATAGTCATTTTAGAAACAAACAAAAGACACCATAGGTTTTTTTCTTGGGACTGGAGAAAATTGCCATGGTCTGTTGACGTCTGACTCTAAGGCAGCCTTTTTGGCTGAATGTAGTTGTGGGGCATAGTGATGGCTTGGTGATGAATGCAGTGTGAACACCTAGGTAGTTTCCCTGCAGTGCAGGAATAAGGTACAAAAAGAGTTGTCTTTGTTACTGGAATTAATATTTCCTATATGCTTTGGACAAATAAAAAACAAATTGTATGTTCTAAGAGCTATTTGTGTGGCCGTGGAAAGGAAACAGGCTCCATATGGAAAAGGAAAGCAAGTTTTCTACCTAATTATTTAAGGGGCTTTGTGTGTCTCTGAAATATGCATTGGTAAATATGAGCTGACACATTTCTAGCAACCAAATTATAAATGAGCGGAAGACCTGAAAATGTCAGTTCCTTCCTTAGAAGCACTCCAGGATTTTTCTTTCCATTTTTCTTTTCTTCTCCCTCTCATACACATTCATTTCTTCCCTTAGGCAAATAAGTTTCCTGTAAATGTTTGTCTTTTTGTTTCACTATACTACTTATCATAGGATATAATTTTTGACACGTCTTAGAAGTATCAGGGGAGATTTGATGTAATAATATTTTTATATAGAGAGCGTGTATGCATTCCTTAAAATAACACAGAGAGAGAGAGAAAGTAGTAAATCAATCCTTTAAAGTTGTTTCTGTGTGTATCTTGACATTGCCTAACCAGTTGTGTGTGTTGTGGGCTTTTTCAGGATTAGCTAAGAAAAACTTTAGGATAATCCTAAGAAGCTCAGAAAAAGTGAAATAAATTAAGATCTTAAGATGAAGATATCTTGTACAATGCTTATTAGGCAAAGGGTTTGTCATTGTATGGCACAAGAACTATGCCACATCAGGTAGCGGGGCAGGAAAAGTGCTTGAACTGCTGCTGTTACCTCCTCTCCCCTTGGAGAGGGCTCTGGGGTGTCAAGTGTCCTGGTTGGTTGAGAACAGCAAGTCTTCTGATTTGTTTAGATTCATTGGGAATTGATCATTTTTGTTTGTTTGTTTTCCCAGAACTGTGACACAGTTAACTGTTTTCCTGGAACTGTAACACAATTTACACCCAGCCACACATATCTGAGTCACTTGTTGATGAAGCTGTATGCACGTTACCTGATCACTTTTTATTAGTAGGGACCAAAAGGAAGATCCTTGTGAAGGGCCAGGTTAGCTGAAGCAAAACAATGATTTTTCTGGTGTTTTTTATCATTTTCATGTCAACATTAATGTGCGTTTGGACAGCAGACTTGGCAGTCTGTCGTTGCTTAATCTTGACCTTCCTGTGGGCCTGAAGTTGTGGAAGAGTCAGTGACTGAGGACAGTTCTCGGAAACAACCTGTCTGGTATAAGCTTGCAGGAGAGAATGGGAGGAGGTGGTAGATACACGGTGGGTAGAGACGTGCGTGTGTACGTGTACCTAGCTGGACCGAGAAACTTTCATCCTTACAGAGGCATAGGCTGGGCGATTAGGGAAACTCTGCACTCTGTCAATGTGCCAGATGTATCTTGTCCTTGGAATGTAATTATTATATACTTATAAATATAACACGTTATCTGCTTGCTCAGTACAGCTTCCATGGTTGTGTTACCTTTGTGCAGTGTGTCAGTCAGTAGCACTAAAATTTTTTAAAATAGTAACACCCTCCACCCCCAAGAATTAAATGCTGTTCTGTGCTTTTAAGCATGTTCAGCCCTAAAATGTTTTGGAACAATGTAAAATGCTCACTAATGGTAGCATGCTAACTCAGAAAAGCATGTCAGCACAGGGCAGTGCTGAAGCATATACTTACATCATATTGAAGTCAATGTATTTAAACACGAATGTATGTGCTTTCCTGAATCAGTATGTTTATTGTTAGCTGTTCTGAAAGAAGATTGTTATTTTTGTAGTCCCAATGAAGGATAAGTTTTGCTTTTAACAAAAAAAAAAAAAAAAAAAAGGTGACGTTTGGGAATACTTTAAATATACGAACTGTATTATCTTTTGTTTTGATAGCTGATTGCTGTTTATGATGAGCAAGAAACTCACCGTAAGACTGATGGCACCAATGGCAATTTGACAGACAGAAATAGCCCAGACTCTTTTGAGACGGAGGTAGCGGCTCAGCTGGCAGCCTTTCAGCCAATTGGTGGTGAGATTGAAGTGACTCCTTCTGCCCTAAAACTGGGTATGTATATCTTGCTTGCTTATTTTTTAATTTTTTTGGCTAATATATAGTACTTTCTTATTTCTTTTTTCTTTTCTGAGTATGTCTGTAGTCTGATTTTATGTATTTAAAGAATTTTTTTAGCACCCCATTGTTTGCCTTGCGATTCAGTGAAGACAATTGTAATGACAAAAGTTGGACTTCTGAACAATTGATGCTGAAGACCGCAACTGAGCACGGCAAATTTGCACCTGAGCCTTGTATCCTGCTGTATGTTACGCCCAGCCATACAGCTGGGGTCTCTTTTTTCTCCTTTCCTCGCCTGGGTAGGTTGCTGACAGTCCTTCATTGTAATCTCCTGAGAGTGGAAGAGATGAAACCTATGCAAAGTATTTTCAAATAACAAAGTCATTGGAAAAAACCTCAGCATTTTTGCTGAGGAACCTGGGTTCAATGAGTGTGAAACTGCTGTGTGCAAATACTTTTACTGATTATCTGAGCTACTGCCCTGTTTTGGGGGTAGGAGGTAGAAAGAAGGAGATGCTGATTGCAAACGGTTCAGCTCTTTGCCTTGGAAGAAGCTGCACAGCAGAGTCTATTTGCCTATCTGACTTTCAGGTGAGCAAACTGTGATTAGGAGAGGCTTCTGCTTAATTCCCTCTTATATCAGAGGGTGCTACATGAAGTGCTGCAACTCTGGTCCCCTGTGTTTTTTCAGTGTGCCTGGAAGGCCAAGAGTTCAGACACTGGTTTCCAATTATAAAGAGCTAGAGTCTTGTACATTGAACACAAAGCGGTTTGAAATACTTTCTTGGATTGAGAGCAGACTGAGCTGTCACCTAGATAGTAGATATAGAAGCTTTCAAAAACAGATTGAAGGTGAATCCTTTTAGTCTCTGCCTGTAAAGCAGTTGTACACTGACAGCATTTAGCAAATGAATAATGCTCAGGAGAGGCTTCTCTGCATTCCACCGGAGCTCATCATCCAATTCTCCCTGTATTCTTGAGTACTGCTGGTAGTCTCCTAACGGTGTGCAATAAAATTTCTGAGTGTAAGCAGGTGGGGTAAGGATAGAAATACTACCTCTAGTTATACTACTCTCATCGAGTAGTCTGATTACAACTTCAGAAATTGAATGTTCACTTGTCTGTTTATTTTAATTGCATTTTTAAAAGAAAGGGCTGATTAACAAAAACAACAAGCTAAAATAAAATTTCTAATAAAGCTCACTGGATGAAGCTGTGTAACTTAACTTCTAATGGAAATCTGTGCTCATTTTTGTGCCTGATGTAGAAAATACTGAAATCAAGCTGCATGAAAATTTTTAGGTTCAAATTTCTGTGTTAATTTGGATCACTTCTGTTTTTTTGTATTCTAGAATATAGAAAAATCTCCTTCTGTATTTAATGACACACAGGAATTTCTCATACCTAAAAATCTTGGGTAAAGACTTATTCTTGCCATAACTTGTATGTATTTGAGCTGTGTTTTTGGTAAGCATGAGGTATGGAAAAGTTTGTGGCTAAAGGTCCAATGGTTGAATGGTTTGCCACTTCATTTATTGCATATTTTTAAATAACACTGTGTAAACACATTTTAGCATGTTTCAGAAAGTAGAGATTGTTCTCCATATAGTTCTGAGCCCTATTTAAAAAAAAAAAAAGTGGTTTTGTCTAGTATACTGTTATACGTAAGCTGAGGGTTGGAGAGAAGAGTATTTCAACCTCACACAATTTTATTTAAAACAGTTAAATGCTAGAGCTCTTGAACTCTCCGGTAAGCTACCAGGTAGTTCAGTTTTCATAGCATTTATGGAATCCTTCTACTATAGAGTGTAAAGGAGATGAAATATAGCATGAGAAGAGCAGCCAATTAGGGTTCTATTTCATTTTCAGTGCAATAGTAATATATATTTGAAGTTTAAATGGATGCTTGCTGCTTAAAATAGAGAACATAAATATAATGTGTTTGTCTCAATGGTTCTCTTTCAGATTGTTTTATTTTACACGGTAAATGAAAGATTTTCTACCTGTCAGTCCTATAAACTCAGTCTGCACTCTGAAATTTAATTGTTTTCTCTTCTGGATTTTAAATCACGGATTACAGTTCTTTAGACCTAATTTTTGCCTTTATGTTTCCTGTACAAGTTGCTGGACCTTAAATTATGTTCCTATTTCCACTAGAGGCAAATTGAAAAGTAAATGAAGAAATAGAAGGACAATTTGGTTGCATCAATATCATTGATGCATGAACCACAGTAGTCTGGCTCCCTGTCTAATTATTGAATTGACTCACACTTGCTAGCAGAAATAAATAATAATAATTTTAAAAAGGTGTTCTTACTTTGGGAGCAAGGATGTGATTAAATATATATGTAGCGAGCAAGTGTTGCTTTCCATGGTAGAGCTGTGTTTCAAGAACTGTCATGTGCTTACCTTTTAGGGTACTTTTGCAGAATGCCTTTAGGGATGAAATGCAGGGAATCCATTGTTATATAAATTGTCAGATTGTGGAACAATTCTGCCTGTTAACTTCTGTTGGATGTTTTGTATTCTATGAAACCAGATCCACAGTTTTATGTAGAAACAATGTCTATTTAGTGATCTGCTCAGAGAATACTTAGAGCTTGATGCTTAATAAGTACGTGAAACTGAATGCTGTTGTTCTCAAACATGAGAAGAACCAGCAGTGGTTTTAGAAAAGGCACTTGAGATACTGCCTTCAAACTTTTTTCTTTTTTATAAATTGTGTATTTGCTCCAGTTAAGTTAATAATATGTTATACCTAGTCTTAAAGCCTTTACTGGCTAGACAGAGATGGCGATGATGGGGGAAATATTTTTTATTGTATGGTTACTTCTTTCAGGTTTTTTTGTGGTGGATACTCTTTACAATACTGATCAGCTTGACTCTGTCTGAAATCATAGTTTTTCCATTATGCAGTTAGTTACCCTTATTTTTGCCCTTTGTCACCTGTAACTTTGAAAGTGAGCTGGAATAAAAGCAATCTTGTACTTGACTTGAAAGTACCGTATATCTTGCATTGCTTCCACATACTGGCAAAATTTGAGGGCAAAAAAGCAAGTTTGTTATCTTACTTATTATCAAATTACTTTCTTAATACTTGGCATATATCTTCTTAAAACTGTTCAGGAAATTACTCAGCTATTTGTTTTCTTTTCCCTGAAATTAATGCATCTCTACTTTTAAAGCTAACTCTCTGTTCTCAAACAGGTGAAATTGTGGGTTCTTATGTTTAATTTTAGAAAAATGCAGGAAGACTTTAACTGTATGAACACAGAATCTGCTGTGTCCATAACATAAGGTGAGATGCAAACATACTTGAGCACCTCCCCTCTCCCCCCGCAGAACTGGATTATCAGGTGGTGTTGCTGACAGTGTCTGAATTAGGACTGCAAAGTAAGCAATACCTGATAGTTTCTTACAACTGAAAAGGCTTTACTTGAAGCTTCTGATACTCAGGGCTGAAATTACTGAAGGAAGCACAGTCATTCAGTTCCATTAGGTACGTAGGTCTCAATTTGGTAGTGGGTTTTGCATCCTGGTGTTTTGCTATTAAGCACAATTACTGAAACAGTGACACAATGAAGTGGTTGTTTCTCCACAGTTTACTTTTTCTACATTCAGATGTAATACTTATCTATTGAAACCTGCCATCATCCATTCAGATGTAGATGAAAACCCAATGACGATGTCATATGTACTGTTGCACACCCAATGACTATAGTTTTTTGAGAAGTACCAGTGCTGTCTTCATTCTTGTTTGGATGGGTTGGACAAATAATGCTGCATCTCTGTAGAAACCTGAAGAGGGGGAAGGGGCATTGCTTATTTCGTTTCCATTTAGTGTAGATCTTCCAAGTATCTTGCCTTTTTTGGTTTAGTGAGCAGAAGAGTACTGAAAGCAGATTCTGCAGAGGGGCCTTGGGTTCAGTTACACCTCCAGTTCCCTTTCCATTTTTCATCCGTAATTCAAGTATAGTGCGAAAGAATATCAAGGCTGGCAGGGATTTGTTAATTGTACTAGGTTTCTCCTATCAAAATCAAAAAGAACTTTTTAATACTGAAAATGTTGATGTACGTGTTTCAGTTGACAATGGAATAAATATAGATCTGTTGTTTAAAAAAAAAATCCCTATTTGACAGAAAATGTGCTTGGGTAAAGAATACATTTCATGCTACAATACAAATGGTAATAAAGCAGCTGTTAATATATATTACAAAATTTAGAGGAGCACACAACCATTTAATGTGTCCAATCAGCTGTTTGAAACAGTGTCCTAGTTTCAGCTGGGATAGAGTTAATTTTCTTCCTAGTAGCTGGCATAGTGCTGTGTTTTGGATTTAGGATGAGAATGATGTGATAACACACCCATGTTTTAGTTGTTGCTAAGCAATGTTTATACTAAGTCAAGGACTTTTCAGCTTCCCATCCTCTGCCAGTGAGGGAGGTGCACAAGAAGCTGGGAGGGGGCACAGCCAGGACAGCTGACCCAAACTGGCCAAAAGGGTATTCCATACCATATGACGTCATGCTCAGTATATAAACTGGGGGGCAGTGATCGCTGCTCGGGGACTGGCTGGGTGTGCCTTTGGTTGGTGGGTGGTTAGCAGTTTCATCCCTTTTTTTTTTCCCTCTTCCCCTGTTTTTTTTGTGCTTATTTCTCTCTTTTGTTGTTTTACTTTCCATTATTAGTATTAGTATTATTAAACTGTTCTTATCTCAACCCATGAGTTTTCTTACTTTTGATCTTCCGATTCTCTCCCCCGTCCGACCTGGGTGGGGGTGGAGGGAGAGGGTGAGCGAGCGGCTGTGTGGTGCTTAGTTGCCAACCGGAGTTGAACCATGACAAACAGTGAAGAAATGATCTACTGATTTTGGTATTTCTGTGGGTCAATAGAGAACATTGAGAACACTGTTGCTGAACTGGCAGCAGAGAGAGCTTGTCTTGTGAGACTGCTTCTTGTGAGCAGAACTTCCCAGGGTACACTCGTGATGT